AGCCATCTCATGACAAAATAAGAAGAATCTGGAGAGGTCGCTGCTCTTGGTGTCGTCTGCCCCCAACGCCTCTCATGCCTTCGCTTGGGCCACATTGCCGACCACCACCACGACCCCCTCCTCCTCGCCATCTCCTCTGCCCCCTTCCAAGTCATCCCGAGTTACATTCATAGCTGTCTAGAAAAAATAATCTTACTCCTATAAAAAGCTGAGTCGGTGATGATGGTGTGCCTGCCATCCTTCATTTACAACCGTTCGATTTACATCCAACGCATCTGAGACAAACTATGTTAGTTTTACAAAAAGACCTCCGCACTCCACTACTCGTTTGTAGATAACCCCCTGCCTCTCACCTCATCTAGCCATCTCATGACAAAATAAGAAGAATCTGGAGAGGTCGCTGCTCTTGGTGTCGTCTGCCCCCAACGCCTCTCATGCCTTCGCTTGGGCCGCATTGCCGACCACCACCACGACCCCCTCCTCCTCGCCATCTCCTCTGCCCCCTTCCAAGTCATCCCGAGTTACATTCATAGCTGTCTAGAAAAAATAAACAAGATCAATACTCAAAAAATATTTTTTGAAGATCATTTTTTGCAAAGCACAATAAGTGTTATTTCTTCATGAAGTTTTGGGTGCAGGTTGAACACTTGAATGCTTTTGTTTGCAAAAGATATTTTTTTATCTATTTTCGTACATTTACTATTCACCCGTATGCTTGTGAGCTCTAGAGAAGAATGAATATCTGAAGAAACCTATCGATATTTGTTAAACATGAGATGACCCGGATCAATGCATTTCGGTGTTGCGTGCAACGCACGGGCATCTTACTAGTAATATTATATATTTGGTGACGGAAATCAACTAGCAATTACTGCACACATTTTTAGTGGCTTAATTCCCTAGCTATCTTGTTAGCACCGACAACGGTTTTTAGAATGTTTTGTTACACTGCATTTTGTGCTGAGTCGACATACTCTGATACTAAATCCCCCTATTTGTAAGATGCATGTTAAAGTACACTAACACTACAGTTGCATCTGTATTATATCATCACAGAATGAACAATAAGCAAAAGTACGGTTTGATTGAAAGTACTCCCTCTGTAAACAAATATAAGAGCGTTTAGATCACTAAAATAGTGATCTATATGCTCTTATATTTCTTTGCGGAGGAAGTATCTATGTAGCCTCACATCGATGCTTTCTTGTTTACACCTTGTCTTCTGAGAGCTTGTGGGACGCCAAACTTGACATCGAAAATGATAAGATACTCTTTTTATCTGTACGGAGAACTCAGATGCTGCTTGACATCGCTTGTGTTTTCTTCAGGCGATTATAGAGAGAATGGGTGTTCCAGCGTGCATGGGGAGATAACTAAACGCAAGAGCAAAACCCATTCCTTCTGCCATGTCGAAGAATTTTCTCCGTTTGTACAATTCTGTTGTAGCTGTTATTATGATTACCCCTGGTTCACCAACTTTCTTTATGGCTGCCTTCTAGAAAAAACATTATGATGGTTGCTTGGTGGGGTTCGTTGTGGATCGTTCTGTAACTAGGTGCCATGGAATTCCTTGCCATCTTTGCGCATTTCATTAGCAATCATGATGGCAGTCTTTTTTCCAATCATTAGAGCATGCATGTCTAGAGAACCCACGATGTTTGAAGCAATCTGTTGCACTATTCCTTGGGCTAAAGATCGCAATGATGTCGTTTCACCACTTGGGAATAGTATCACAGATCGTCAAAACACCTTATCTTACTTATCTTATTAGATGGTTCAGAGCGTCTCAAGCTGTGAACATGCATATACAGGCTCAAGCAATAACATCGATTGCATCAATCTCTCTCTGTTTCCTTCTAACACGGTATCAGCCTAATCGATTCAAACCCTAGCCATCGCTGTCGCTTCCACTTCGTGCCGCCCTGGGGCGGTCGATCTCCCATGATCGTCACCGGGGGCCACACAACCCGTAACCAGGGTTCATCCGTCGACCGCGTTGATTGTCTGCCCTAGAGAGTCATTTTCCCAATGTTTTGATTGGGGTTTTGTCTCTCGCCGATTGATTGATCTGTATTCTTTTTTGGTTTTCTTGATTCGTAGATCGGTTTGCGCCGCCCGCAGTCGTCCGTCGTCTACAACACTTCTACTTCATCGACATCTTCATGGTCTCGTGCTAAAAAGTGCCCCGGGCTCCATGCATGTCGCGTGAGCGTCCTGGTATGGCAGCGGCGCCCATCATCTGCCCAGATCAGCTGCATCACGGCGTCCCCGGCTGATCGTCATCGCATCAGCTACGGCGGCCGCTCGCACCATCATGTGCGCCTTGTGGCTTTGTTGCTAGCACGTCAAGTTGTGCATGATGACTCGCGTCATGGCCTGGACAACCACACGTGTTGCATTGTGTGCTGGTGTACGTTGCAGCCCGACGTGTACGTGTTTTCGTTCGGCCGCATGAGTCCGTGAAGATCGTTCCCAGTACACATGTCTCTACATCGATCGAGCAACGGGTTGTAGCTGCATCATCCCTTTGACTGCAATGTCGCCGTCCCATGGTTCTTTTCATGGCTGCATCGACCCTCGTGCTCATTGTATTTCTATATATATGCCCATGAGGCTTAAGCAATAACATCGATTCCACCAATTTCTCTCTATTCCCTTCTAACAGGCTGAAGAGAATCGCTAGAGGGACCCGTTTGATGACGATGGAGCATGTGAATGATTTTTACATTGGATTCACTACTTCTTTTATGCTTGACAATTGCCTCGATGGTCTGTCTTGTTGTATGGAAGCAAAGTCGAACTATGTTGGTTGCAAAGTTGATGTAGGTAGAGACCTAAAGCAACACAAAGTTTTGGAGGAGCGACTCCACCCTGCTGCTATAAAGTGTACAACACTAGAGTTGAAGGTTCAACGTGTTGCACCAGATATCGCTCTAGAGGTGGATGTAGGCCAATATGACAACATGAGTTCAATTCAGAACTCCTAGAGCACAAAATCTACTCCAAGATCTTAGATAAGAACACCAAGTTCTATTATACGCAGTGGGGGTACATAGTCTGATTACAAATTTGAGGAGAGGACCTCTATTTATATTAGGGAAAACCTTCACATACTTTTACTTGTGGCTAGAACACTCTAGAAAACATTACTTAAGATTCACCATTCTACTCATAGCTAGAAGACTCTTGAAAACTGTAGCCAGGGTTGAGAAAAGAAAAGAAATACTAGAATACAATAGAAGTATCTAGAAGTAGCCAAACAATTTTGACAAATGATTATATTTTTATTTTCCTCATCTATTGTTCCTCATCATTCTCCCTTGGATGTTTCGAACTCGCCCTCGAGTTATCTTCATAGAGCGCTTCTTTTGGACGGTAGAGGGTCAAGTCTGCAACATTAAAAGTGTTGGATATACCCATGTCGCTTGGAAGATCCATCACATAATCATTATCATTTATCTTTCTCATGATAGAGAAGGGCCCATACTTTCGCTGCCTAAGCTTTCCTTTAACACCTAAAGGCAGTCTCTTTTTTTGGAGGTAGACCATCACCTTACCACCAATTTGGAATGATTTCGGCCTTCTTTTGCAGTCAGCAAGTTGTTTATATTTCTGATTTTGTGCTTCCAAAACACCACAAATCTCTTCAAATAACTCAATGTAATTATTAGCAAAGGATAATGCTGATTTTGGGTTTCCCTTTGATGGTAGCTTCACAAGGTCCACCACTTGTGTTGGAACTTTAGTGTAGACAATGGAAAAAGGACTCCTTCCCATGGATCTATACTTGGAGTTATTGTAGGAGAACTTTGCAAGAGATAAAGCCAAATTCCATTGTCCCTTTCTTTCTCCACAGATGCAACGGATTAGAATACTGATGTCTACTACACAATTTATTCTTGTAGACTCGTGTTGGGCCTCCAAGCACAGAGTTTTTTAGGACAATAGCAATTTTTCATCAAGTGGATGACCTAAGGCTTATCAATCTGTGAGAGGCATAGGATAAAAATGGTCTCTTTGAAACAACCCTGCAATCAAATATAAGAAATCTCTTGTGTCCTCAACACACCAAATACAATAGTAAATTGTATAGGTGCACTAGTTCGGCGAAGAGATGGTGATACAAGTGTAGTATGGATATTACATATAGGTTTTTTGTGTTGGGGAACGTAGCATGCAATTTCAAAAATTTACCTACGATCACACAAGATCTATCTAGGAGATGCATATCAACGAGAGGGGGAGAGTGTGTCCACGTACCCTCGTAGACCGAAAGCGGAAGCGTTAGTTTAACACAGTTGATGTAGTCGAACGTCTTCTCGATTCAACCGATCAAGTACCGAACGTACGACACCTCTGAGTTCTGCACACGTTCAACTTGATGACGTCCCTCGAACTCTTGATCCAGCAAGGTGTCAAGGGAGAGTTCCGTCAGCACGACGGCGTGATGACGACGATGGTGAAGTGATCCACGCAGAGCTTTGCCTAAGCACTACGACAATATGACCGGAGGAGTAAACAGTGGAGGGGGGCGCCGCACACGGCTTGAAACAATTGATGTGTGTTAGAGGCGCCCCCGTCTCAGTATATAAAGGAGGGAAAGGGGAGGAGGCCGGCGTAGGGGCGCCCCAAGTGGGAGGAGTCCCACTTGGGCTCCTAGTCCAATTCGCCCCCCTTCCTTTTATCGAAGGGGGAAAGGGGGAAGGAGAGGG